CGGCCTCGCGTGCGCGCCCCGCGCCCCGGGGCGGGCCGTGTCCGGTCGGCCTGCGGTGAGGGCCCGAGGTGCTGGGCGCGGAGGGCGCGCGTGGGGCGGTTGGCGTTTTCTGGTTATTCCGAGGCGTCTGCGAGACGAGCTGGCGGCGGGACGGGGCGTCCCTTCCCCGGGTGCCCTCGTTCGGCGCTGGGCTTGGCGGGCTCCGCGCCCCGGGCCCCCCGCCCTTCTGTGCCCGTGTGCCCCAGAGCCCGCCGCCCGCCGCCCGCTCCCCGCAGCCTCTGTCCCCGGAGCCCGGGCGTGGGGCAGGAAGCGCGTCCGCCCGCGCGGAGTCAGGCAGGCGCGGCGCTGCGCAGCTGTGGTCAGCCTGCTTGCCCAGCTGTGTCCAACAGATGGGACGCTGGGCTTGCTGAGGGATGCTCAGTGCGACTGACACGTTTTCTGTTGGTTTTTGACATTTTGTGTCTGGTAATTACACCATTAAGGTGCTGAGAAAAGTCTGTCTCCGGCTTGTTTGTAAGAGATACAGGGTTAGTTCCTGTGGGTCACAGGATAGCAGATGGGAGCTGCGAACCGCCCTGTGGGAGGGAGCACAGGGCTGCTGCACATGGACCTCAGAGGGAGGCAGTGCCCCGTGTCCCTTCAGAGACTTGGCTTTTGACAGTGGCCAGAAACCCGGTGGGGCTTCTGTTTCCCAGACGGCTGCCATGGTGTCCTGTGACCCGTCATTTTGTGCGATAGGAGGGTAGACTCCCCCAAGCCTGTGCTTCCCTGTCAGACTTCTCCCTTCCACCTGCCAGTTCCTGCCCTGCCCTGGAAGGCCCGGCTGGCTGTGGTGAAGCACCATGTGCTCACCTGCTGGGAGTTGGTGGGATGTCTCTGGTTTTGTGCACTTGGTTGCTCCCCTTCTTTTGTGGGGTGAGCCTAACAGCAGATATGGTGAGAGGCCCCAGACTTGGCACCCTCAGAGTGGATGTAGGGAGCTGACCAGCGCCAGTTGAGTGGCTGAATGATTGTGAACACCACATGCACCACCCAGAAGAGGATTACGAGGCCCCCTGGCCTGGGGAACTACTTAGTTAGACTTTTTTTTCCTTTTTGGTACTGGAGATTGAATCCAGGGCCTTTGTGCTGAGGTACATCTCTAGCCCTTTTAAAAAATTTTTAGATTTTGAGACAAGGTCTAGATAAGTTGCCCAAACTGGGCTCTAATTTAATATCCAACCTCAGATCTCTGTCTCAGCCTCCAAGAATGCTGGGATTACAGGTGTGTGCTGCCACACCCAGCCAGCTTTTCTTTATCAAGTAGAGTTGGAAACAGGGCTCTTCCTTCCTTGTAACCCAGGCCAGGAGCACAGCCAAGAGGTTCCTGTCACACTGTTTCGGCCAAGGCTGACTGACCCACACTTGTGGTATCCAGAACTGTGGAACTTAGGAGTCAAGGCTTCCTCTTTCTCTGCTGAGTCCAGAACTGTGGCTTTGGGGTCTCCTGCTTTGTCCTCCACTGAGACAGTGGGGCTCTTGAGTACCTGGCTGGCAATACCGTGGCCTGGGGCTGCTGTGGTAGACTAGGCCCACCCTGGCTTCTATGAAGAGCAGTGCAGGTGCTCAGCAGAGGAGCTATAGGATGTGGGCCAGGAGCCAAGGAGTGGGACTGTGATACCAGGCAGCGTGGCTACGCCTTGGCCCCACATCCAGGCCTACTCAGGCAGCCTTAGAAGGCAGTGGATTGCGTCCTCAGAGTTTCAGGAGGACACAGCCTCTGGGAATCCCTGGGGATGAGGCTGGGCAGGCCCGAAGGCCAGCGGCCTGCTGGACACTGTTCTGGGGCTGCTAAGAAGGGAGTGGTGCTCTGCATGATGATGGGGCAATTGAGCAGGGATGCTGGGCCTGACAGGAGAAGCCAGCAGAAAAGGTGCTATTTCTCAGCCCTCATCCACCACCTGGCATTTAAGACTGAGCATGGAATAGGTAGTTCTTACCTAGGAGAGTTGTGACTCCCCTTCTGCAGTCAGGGGCTGGTGTGAGTTGGTGTGACAGTTTCTGGCCTAGAGGGCTTTTGTGTAGCTCTCACCCATGGTGCTGCTTACTGGGATCTGAAAATAGCAGACCCAGCAGACCCAGCAGCTGCACTGATTTTTCCTGACCTCTGTTGAACACGAGGTATTGTAGTCAGAGTTTGCAAGGGAATAGGTTATACAGGACACATAATTTATAGGGTTACTTTATAATATTCACCCAAAAAATCAAATGCAGGTGAGTGCAAGAGATCTGTCCCTGCATTAGAGACCCAAAGAATCCAGCTGAGGGCCTGGATCCCATGACAATGTCTCATATAAGTCTGTATCAAGGATCTGCACTGGGAAGGCCCAAAGCTCAGTGGTAGAAGCTAGAAAGTCTGCACCAGTGGGATGAAGGATCTGGGCTAGCAGGCTGAGGGACCTGCACTGGAGCCAGGAAGTAATGCTCAAAGTAAGGACCAGAGCTCCCCGAAAGGTACCACAGCCATCTTCAGCAACATCAAGGACCCAAGCTCCTTCAAGTATGAGCTGAGTTCATATCAGGAAAACCAGCATAATAAACTTCTCCGGGAGAATCAATAGCACAGCATCTTGCCCTTCAGTTCTTCTGTGTGGTTGGCAGTAATGCTCAGGTGGCCTGTCCACACCCAGCACCATGCTGATTCAGTTTACCTGGGTGTTACAAAGTGAGCATTAGTTAATCTATAACACGAGGTCAGCAGGAGTGAAGAGGCTGGGGTGAGTGCCCCAGCAACACCAGCCTAGCCTTCTCTGTCCAACCAGATGCCATAGTTCTGGCTTTGGGGACTTCCTGGTGGCAGGTCAGCTCTAAGCATCTCCTGCTGTCTCCTCATGTATACCATGGGCTCGACCCAGCTGCCTTTTCCTTTGAGGGCTAATGTAGGGCCTGTACGGATAGCGAGCCAGCCTGCTCAGGGCACCTGCTTGACTGCTCACAGAAGCCGGCTGGACATGCCCACATCTCACCCCACCAACCTGGCTGGGAAGTATTAGGTGACTTCTGCATTGAGTGGTTTCTGTGCTGAGAAACCACCTTTAGTTTTTCACCAGGGACCCTTCCCCAGCCATTTCTCTATCCCCACCATTGCTCACTATGCAGAGTTCCTGTCACCTTGGAGCATGGCGCTCAGAAGAGGGTTGTGGAATGACTGGCAGTGTGTCGCACAGGTGCCATTCCCTTCTTCCCTTGGCCTCAGTTACAAACCCTGGGTAGGTAGCTGGTCAGCAACTACAGAATGAAATGTAGTCTCACATTGGTCTAGTCAGGTCCTACACTAGCCACTCTGCAGGGGGTGGCGGTGAGGCTGAGGCTTACTGGAGATGTCCCAAGGGAAGTGGGCACCTATGTCACTCTTGGAGGACAGGCCTTGCCCTTAGCATGGTGGGCAGAGGGCACTAGAGTGGTCAGTGTTTATGTTGTATAACAAGGTGTGATTTTGCCCTTTTATGCCTGGCCACTTTTAACTAGCACTGCGATGCTGTGGTGGGGAGGGGATGTCTAGTGGAGGTGGGACCTGGTGGGGCTGGACAAGACTTGAGGCCCCCAGCCCTGGACAGCCTGCCTGGGGCTGTTGAGCCTCGGCAGCCTTTCTGAGAAGGTGTCATCCGTAGGTGGTGGAGGGAGCACAGCCTTCTCGGGAGAGTTCCTGGGTGGTTCCCAGTGGTGGCCTTGGAGGAGCTTTGTTGTTTCAGTATGGTCTGTGCAGAGGCTCAAGCTATCTCAGCTCAGTCCTGGCTCAAAGTCCAGAGCAGGGTGTGGGCGAAGGACACACCTTGCAGGCCTTGTGCTGACACTTGTGGTGGGCCTGGCACCTTTGCACTGTGAGCTTCGCAACTCTCAGGCCTTGTTGGTCTAAACCCTGAGGACCACATTGGGTAGTGTGTTATTTGCATATTTAGAATGAGTATATGAAAAAGCATTGCTTTCAATTCAGTGCAGGTGCAAAGGTGCAGCCACTGGCTTGGGGACGGATAATCCTTTTCAGGAGTATGACATTCAGGTGTGCAGAGAACATAGTTGGTCTATGCTGGATTTTGTCTTTGAGTTTATTTTTAGAGAAGTTTCTGGTATATGGCAATTATAGGTTTGTAGTTAACTTGTTACTAATGTCTGGCTCTGATGTTTGAGACATGGTTTTTGTCCAAGGCTCCTGGTTTGTTTCAGGATTTATTGTGTCACACTTGGGACACTCTCTGGAGCTTGGAGGTGGAGAGTTAGTTTATGTTTTCTGAGCAAGGCGTAAAAAGAGAAACCAGAAGGAACTGAGCTGAGCTCCTTTGGGTTCCTTGCCTTGGTTTGCACGCACCCAGCAGGGTAGCCTGTGGGACTTCCTCTGACCAGCCATGTCCCCCACCCCCACCCCGTCTCTGCAGCACTCTCGAGTGGACCCTGAGGAGCTCTTCACCAAGCTTGACCGCATTGGCAAGGGCTCGTTTGGGGAAGTGTACAAGGGCATCGACAACCACACCAAAGAGGTGGTGGCCATCAAGATCATCGACCTGGAAGAGGCTGAGGATGAGATCGAGGACATCCAGCAGGAGATTACTGTGCTCAGCCAGTGTGACAGCCCCTACATCACCCGCTATTTTGGCTCCTACCTGAAGGTGCCTGCAGGGTGCAGAGAGTCTGCAGTGGTGGGGAGAGGTTGTGTGCTCTGTGCTGGGCCCTTTCTTTCTGCTCCAGGGCACTGCGTGACATGCCTGAGGTTCTGTACTGGTTGGGTGCTGCTTCTGAGCACAGGGGCCTCTCAGAGGAGACAGAGGCCTTCCGTGGGGCAGGCAGGGTGGGAGCAGGGTCTGCGAAGGTCACATGCTCTAAAGTAGCTGTACTGTCCAGGCTGTCTACAGGCACTGCTTGCCAATGTGGACGCGCATTGTGTGGCTATACTGGACTGAGTGCTTGTCCAGCATGCTGTCTTCCCAGACCCCACAGGCTGAGCCTCTGGCCTGGATTTGATGGACACCTGAGTGTCTGGGGAGGGCTGTGGCAAGAGGGCTCCCTGTGTCACCCAAGCCTCGGCTGCCTCCTGGGGTGTGTGTGTGAGGCCTGCCATGCTCCACTGCCTGCTTGACAGGTTCTCTTTTTTTCTAGAGCACCAAGCTGTGGATTATCATGGAGTACCTGGGCGGTGGCTCTGCACTGGACCTGGTGAGTATGGGCTGCAGCAGTGGGAAGCTTGCTGTGGGCAAGTAGTACAGTATCCCAAACCCTCAGGCCACCTCCTTCACATCTTAGAGCAGTAGATGTGAGCCTACCCTGCTTGGTGGTAAGAGGGGTGCTGGGGCTTTGCTGGCCTTGGGGGTGACAAGGGTAGTGTCCTGTGCACATGGGCTGGGGAAGCAAGGATGCTCTGTGTATGTGGGCCCCTATTCTCAGCTTTGAGTCCACAGAAAGGGTGAGGGTAGCTTACATTCTTTGGAAACAGCCTCTGACCCACTCCTAGGCTCTGAGAGTTTTGATCCAAAAGTTGTTAATGGAACACAGGTCCAGTGTCTCAGGGACACGCTCTCCTGGGGAAGGTGGTGGAGCTCAGGGATGGGTCTCGGGGTGGGGGCTGAGGCCTTGCCTTGCCACCTCCCTCTAGTTGAAACCAGGCCCCCTGGAGGAGACCTACATCGCCACCATCCTGCGGGAGATCCTGAAGGGCCTGGACTACCTGCACTCAGAGCGCAAGATCCACCGTGACATCAAAGGTCCTGCGGGGTGGGCACAGCTCTGTTCCATGCTGGACCTGCTGATCTAGAGAGGCCAGGGTGGGGCGAGTGGCTGTATTGCCTGAGGTCTCGGATGCAGGCCACCTGGAAATGGTGGTTCCAGCTTGCTTTGTTTCCAGAAGATGCTGTCCTTAACACAACCTTATTTAAAATTTTTCTGGGGTGCTAGGGGTGGCATCTGTGGGCCATTGTTTTCCATGGCGCCTGTCCCTGGCCTTCACAGCCTTCTTAGTCTCTGTTCTGGAGAAGCCAGCTCTATGCCTAGCATGAGCGGGGCTCGTTGAGCCTAGGCAAGGATCTTTGCCTGTCAGTTGTGGCCCTGCTGAGCACACGGGGCTGGGCCAGTCCCTTTCTTGTGCCCAGAACCTTGCACTATTTTGACACTGTAGCAATGCCCCTGGCAGAGGCAGGGGCTTTGTGACTAGTCTGTATGGGCTGTGGGCTTGTGTCAGGATCACTCCTAGGAGTCCTGTGGCTGCCCTGTGGTTGGAATGTGTCATTGAGACCAGATGGGTGGGTCTGAGCTCAGGTAGGTGCCTCTTGGGGTATGAGCCCTGTTGCCCTGTGGCCCAGGACTGCCTGATTGGGGTGCAGCAAGGAAAGTAGAGGTCCCAGGACAACCTTGCTGAGTCCCCAGGGACTAGGTGGACACCCTACTGGCAGGTGGGGTGTTGCTCCCGAGCAGGGCTTCCTGGGGCATATGAAGTGGAGGGTGACAGCCCCGTGCTTGTTGAGCAGCTGCCAACGTGCTGCTCTCGGAGCAGGGAGATGTGAAGCTAGCAGACTTCGGGGTGGCAGGGCAGCTCACCGACACTCAGATCAAGAGGAACACATTTGTGGGCACCCCTTTTTGGATGGCACCAGAGGTCATCAAGCAGTCAGCCTATGACTTCAAGGTGGGTGTTGGAGCTGGGGGTGGGAGGGGCTTCTGGTGCAGGCAGGTGGGGTGCTGGATGCCGTTACTGTCTTCTGTGCTGCCCCATCTAGGCCGACATCTGGTCCCTGGGCATCACGGCCATTGAACTGGCCAAGGGGGAGCCGCCAAACTCTGACCTGCACCCCATGCGTGTCCTGTTCCTGATCCCCAAAAACAGCCCACCCACACTGGAAGGCCACCACAGCAGGCCCTTCAAGGAGTTTGTGGAGGCCTGCCTCAACAAGGACCCCCGATTTGTAAGCCTGGCACCTGGCCCTGGCAGGCAGGCTGTTGTTGGGGGAGGATACTAACCTGGGGTAGGGCAGGGCCCTCAGGTGTAGCTCACCCCATCCTCCTTCCTTGTAGTGACTCCTTTGAGGGTGGGCCTCCCACTCTGGCCTGCCCCCCCCCATGCCCACTCAGCCTGCCTTGTGTGTGCTGGCCTGCAAGGGTAGAGCTTGGTTGTGTTTGGTACCTGGCTGTGCCTGGCACCTGGTGATTAGCGTACACCCTCACAGCGGCCCACAGCCAAGGAGCTACTGAAGCACAAGTTCATCACACGCTATACCAAGAAGACCTCCTTCCTCACGGAGCTCATCGACCGCTACAAGCGCTGGAAGTCAGAGGGGCATGGCGAGGAGTCCAGCTCTGAGGACTCAGACATGTAGGGGACTTGCTTGTCCGTGGGGGCTTCTGCTGTATGCCCACCTCATGGCCCTGCATGTGCAGGCCAGGTGGGGTGTCTACTGCAGAGGCTGGGTTCTGGTGTTATGCAGGGGCCCCTTTGTTAGAGGGCAGGTCCTTTTGTGCCCCCCCCCGCACCCCCCGCCGGAACAGGTGGGGTGGGCACTGGTGGAAACAGTGGTCTCATCCTACTGTTTCCAAAAGATGCTGCCCATAACAGAACCTTCAGCTTTCTGTGGTGCTAGGGCTGGAGCCCTGGTCCCTTCTGGCCCTGCTGACTCAGCCTCTCCTTCAGAGACGGCGAGGCCGAGGAAGGGGAGCAGGGCCCCATATGGACATTCCCCCCAACCATCCGGCCCAGCCCGCACAGCAAGCTGCACAAGGGGACGGCCCTGCACAGCTCGCAGAAGGTCTGTCCTGGGGTGGGCTGTGGGGTTTCAGAGAGAGCCGGGTGAGGCCTGGGCCCTCGTGATGAGCAGGGTGAGGCTGGGCCCTCTTGATGAGTGGGGCCAGCACAAAGCAGGAGTGCTCCTGGGCTGGCTGGAGTGCACTGACGCTGGGCCAGGTGTGGGGAGCGTGAGGCCCACTGAGAGCTGCCTTGGGTGAGACCCGCCTGCCTGGGTTCTGGGGTTCTTCAGGCCGGGCAGGAAGCCAGTCTCTTGCCCTCATCCCAAGCCTGGCTTCCCCCTTATAGCAGGCGGACCCTATCAAGAGACAGCCACGGTCCCAGTGCCTGTCCACGCTGGTCCGGCCGGTCTTCGGAGAGGTGAGGATGGGGCCCCTCTGCCCCTGCAGTGCTGTGCTCAGTGTGCTGTGCTCAGCGTGCTGGCCCTGCCAGCATGCGTTTCCACCTGTGTGCTCTGTGGTCTCTCGCACCTGATTGTGGGTGGGCTTGTGGGCTGTGGTTTCTGACAGGAACAACCACAGATCCCTGGGATGAATGAATCTACTGCCCAGGCAGGACCCTTTTTTGGTGAGTGGTACTGGGGATGAAAGCCCCACTTCTAGATTTTGAGACGGCTTGCTAGGTTGTCTGGGTTCCCCTAGTTGCCATGTTGCATCAGCCTTCTGGGTATCTGGGGTCACAGCTCTGGCAGGACCTTGTGTTCCCAGCCACACAGAGGTCCTCTGGAGTATCAGGTGGCTCTGAATGAGAGCTGATGTTCTGTGACAGAAGACAGAGGGAGGCTGGTTCTTGGTGCTGGACTCAGGGCAGCTTGAGGGTGACTCCCTAGTGGCCCTGTGGTCCCTCATCACCATCACCTGTTGATGGGAGGTCAGAGCCATCCCCAGATGTACAGTCTCGCTGTGTCTGGAGTTGGGGCTTCGGCAGGGTTGGGCCAGGCCTCCCTTCCAGAGCACAGGCTCCCAGTGCTGGGTGTGTGGACCCCCTGGAGCCCAGATAGGGAGGACAGGCCCATGCAGGGCCATCCATATCCTGGGCAGTCTGTGGGTCTGGGCTCAGCCCTAGCGAGACAGGCCTCCCTGGAGTTGATGGCCTGGGGGTGGCTGTCGCCTGCTGTCAGGGTCAGATGTGGGGTGTGTGTGACTGTCCCTGCCCAGGGTCTGGGCCTGCACTATATTCTGGGAGTTGCTGGGGTCCCTGATTTTAATCATCAGGCTGCACTAAGCATGGTGGTGCACACCTGTAATCCCAGCACTCAGGAGGCTGAGACAGGAGACTCCATGAGTTTGAGGCCAGCCTGGGCTCCATAGTGAGTTCAAGGCCAGCTTGAACTATATGGAAAGACCCTGTCTCAAAAACAACAAAATCAAAAACAAAACAATGAAAAACAACAAAATCCAGCTGAATCTGTGTGGTGGCCAATTGGACCCTGGCTGGGCAGGGTGAGTCCAGAGGCTGGAGGATCCTTGTCTGTGCAGCAGGACATGCTGCCACTTCACCCACCAGCTTCGTGGTCTGGTTATCTCTAGCTGAAGGAGAAGCATAGGCAGAGCGGGGGCAGCGTGGGCGCATTGGAGGAGCTGGAGAATGCCTTCAGCCTGGCTGAGGAGTCCTGCCCTGGCATCTCGGACCAGCTCATGGTGCGCCTGGTGGAGCGTGTGCAGAGGTGAGAGGCAGGCGGCTGCTTCCATCTGTTGCTTTGATCCCATGGGGTCTGGGGGAGCCCTAGCCCAGGGGCATAGTGTTGTGCAGATGACTTCTGACCTCCCTATCTGAGGATTTCCCAGAGGGGTCTGGGACCAAGGGATAGTGGTGGACTCAGGCTCAGGCTGGTGCACTCTCCTGGTTTGTCACTAGGGAGTCACCCCCCTGTCCTCTGGGCCCTGATTTCCACACCTGTGAAACAGAAGACATAGCAGCCTGGGCCAGTCATTGCTGTTCCCAGGACCCACAACACTGCACATACCTGCAGACAGCACATGCATGGCCATGGGCCTGACTGCTGGGGCCTGTGCAGTACAGTGACAGGCCTTTCTTCCTCAGGTTCTCGCACAGCAGAAACCATCTGACGTCCAGCCGCTGAGCATGCTGCTCTTCGTGGAGAGGGTGGAGTGTGCTCTGCTGCTGAGCTGAGCATGGGAAGAACTTGACTTGGAAGTCCCCCACCCGTGCTGTGTTGTGTCTGCAAGGACTTGTCAGCCTAGGGCCTCATAAGCTGGGTCACCTTCCACCCAGCACAGTATCCAGTGTCCCTCTCCCCACCTGGCCCACGAACAGGTGCCCATTGGCAGCCACAGGGCTGTCTTAGGCTTCCCCTAGAAACAGCCCTGTGGCTACTAGGTCAAGGAGCACAGTGACTGTTGGGCAGTTCTGCCCTCTTCCTTTGGGTTCGGGAAACAGGGCAGCCTCATGGGGCACCGCAGCCTGCCTTCCTCTCCCTCCCACCCTGATGCTGTCTACAGTGGCCCAAGATGATCCTAGATCTGCCTTGTGGTGTCAGATCAGGTACTGTGTTTTCTCATAAGTACTCATGTCACCCCAAATGTGTTTTTAAGAAAACTGAGCTGTTTCCTTTGGTGTTCTGAGGGTACGGTGTTCACTTCCTGGAGCACCGAAGGCCCTGACACTTCTAATAAAGACCTGGATGGGAGACGCTGGTGCGTGGGGCCTGCCAGGTGGGATTCCTGCAGGGGCAGCAGCTCCTTGGCTCACTTTACTCCCCAGCTGCCGAGGTGCCTCAGCATGCAGTGACTGCCACTGGCTGCCTCCTGCGTGTCCCCCAGAGAGCAGAGCAGGGCAGAGGGGAACACAGGCAGGTGAGGGGATGCCATTTATTTACAACCATGGGTGAACAGGCAGGCATGAAGAAGCTAAAAAAGTAGAGGTGCCGTCCTCCTGGGGCTGCAGTGGACTTTGGTTTCCTTTTCTCCAGAGGTAGAGCGGATGGGAACCAGACTAGCTTTTGCCAGATTTGGCTTTCTGTGACATGTAGACCAGGCCCTGAGTGGTCCCATCTAAAGTCCCACAGTCCTTGGCCTCATCCCAGGACAACACACAGCTCACTGCCCAGAGTACAGTTCTTGGTCAAGGCCAGGGTCTCTGTTCTCCCACTCAGGTCTCAAGAGTGAGACACCCATGTCCTTCCAGTGTCCTGTACAGCCATGGGCCTGTACTGCACCCTGAAGGTTGCTTTGAGCTTGGCCACCATGCTGTCTGTGCCATCTCTTCCTCAGCTCAGCCTGAAAATGGTGATGGGCATCTTTGGTCACCGAAGTCTTCTGAGCAGGTCCTGGTCCAGGCAAGATGGACTTCACTCTTTCCCCTGGAGAGCCCCCTCTAGCCGTGAGCAGGGCCGTCCTGTGTGGGGCTAAGGGCACCACGTGCGCTGCTGGCCCTTTCGATCACCTCCATCCACCTGCAGGAAGGATCAGGTTGTCAGGTCAGTGGGCTTGTTCTCTCATAGACTTCCCAAGAGTGACCCAAAGCATTGCTCAGCTCTTGCTTTCCAGGACCAGGAAATTTGCCTCCACCTGTCTGAGGTGGAGGAGGTGCCAACCAGACCCAGTCTGCTCCCCGTAAAATCACCTCTCAAATGTATACTTGCTCTCGGCCCGGAAGAAGTACACATGGGATTTGAACTGGAGCTTGAAAACGTAATCCTTGAGGATGCCATCTGCTTCCCTGGGGACACTCACGCTGTAGCCTAGCAGTGGGAGGCTGGCGAGGGGGTAGTCGTCCTGCAAGTCCACACAGGGATGTGGGCAAGTCCATTGCTCTATCCCCACCACCAAATACAAAGTGCTCCTAGGAGAAACCCAAGGTGAGGGGGCCCTGATTCCCATTGCACAGAGAGGGCACTGGGAGGGTGGCTGAGCCAGTGGGTAGCTGGTGGCCAGTGCCATGCTGAGGACACAGATAAGAAGGGTGTGTCCTCAGCACTAAGTGCTAGGCCCCAATGCAGTGTGTGTACCTGGTGAGTCTTGTAGAAGAACAAACAGAAGTTGGTAAAGACCACCCAGAGTTTCTGCCAGCCATTGGTGTTCTTGAATTTTCTTAGCAAGTACCCTGAAAGCTGGTTCTGTCAGGAGAAAACACACATGCTGTAGTAGCCAGCTCCACGGTGTCCGCTGCTGAGGCCTGGGTCTTACCCGCCTCCACTGTGCACAGCTGCTCCCTGCAGTGTTCTTCAGATGTAGTCTAATGACAAGCGGCTCACACTGAGAGAGGTGTCTCAGATGCTGAGTGTAACACTTAAGAAAGGCCACAGGGCCACAGACCTACCTGACAGCAAGGAGAGGAGAGACGAGACTCTTGTGTTCAGATGGGGGCACAAGTGCCACATACGGACAGAGGCCCTGCCTAGCCTGTCCCTAACCCCAAGCCCCACACAGTGGCCAGGCCCTTCCCTGTCCTGCCCATGTAGTGGCTCCATGTCTGTGGCAAGTATTGGTCATGGATCCTTGCCATCCGTTAGAGCTGTGCAAGGATCCACTTGGAGCCCATTCTGACAACAGCTTATGGCCTAGTTGGGGACCTGGTGGCTCTGACCCACAGCAGCATCACTAAGCAAGAGGCCCTTGGCCCTGGCTTGGGAGAATGGGCAGGTACAGAGCAGGCCCAGGGAAGGACATGGGACCGTCCTGCTGGGGGAGATAAATGCAAGTCACACTGGGACTGTATGACATGCTAGGGAGGCCATAGGTGATATGATTAAAACTGGGGCTTCTCAGCACCCCCAGATAGCTGCCCAGGCTTTGTAGGCGAGCTGTGGCCACTGCTGGACTTTCTTCTCCACAGGGTGCCACATGTGTAGATCTGGGGGTGAAACACCTTTCCCAGTGAGGGGGCTTTTCCAAACTGACCTACACCAAGGGGATAGCAAGAGGCAGTGGCATGCATGGGTGGGGGGCCTCCACGTCTTGGCAATCGGCACAGCCATACCTCAACAGCAGCGCTGTGGTCTGCTCTGGACACACTTGTGTTCCTGTACCAGCATACATGCATTGTGGTGTTGGCCCGGTGCTGGCCCTGCCCTTCCAGGGAGCCTCCAGGCACCTGAGCAGTGTCTTCCAGGTCCTGTTCCAGCACAACCTCACCGGTGGACCCTAGGGGAGGAGGCAGTGCTGGACACTCCTGCTGGCTATCCCCAGGTGGCCTTGGGTACCCAGGGCAATAGCTGGCAGAACAGAGCCACATGGGGCTTCTGTTGGAGCAGCTGAAGGCCAGGTGTGCCGAGAAAAGCTGTGGGTACAGAGGAGTATCCGGAGGGTCTGAGCCAGGACTCACTGGGGGAATGCATGCACATCACCTCTGGGGACACGTCACCTCCACTGCTCTTGGCTGCTTGGATCGCAGCGTTCAGGTCCAGCATCCACTTCTCTTTTTCCAGCCGAGTGCTGCAGGGAGAAGAGTGAGGCTCAGTGAGTGTAAAGCCTGTCACCTGGCCCTCAGGGCAGGTCAGGGTCCCTGTTCCATCTGCCCCACCTGTGGGACAGGAAGGAGGAGAGCTGGCTTCCCTGGGGCTGGTCTGTTCCTGAGACAAGGCTTTTAAGGCCTCTGAGGCAGAGACAGCCTGCTCAGGATGCAGGGTTAGGTTGGCTTCCTGTGGGAGGGGGTGTGGGGAGGGGAAGCCTCCTTGCAAGTGTGGCCTGGCGAGGCCGCAGGTCCTGCCGCTTGCTCCAGGCCAGAAGCCCTCAGGACCTGTGAGACCCTCAGAGGCTGTCTCCTACGAACCTCTCCAAGATCAGCGAGCATTGCTTGCCTGACAAGGATGTGCCTTGTGGCTGCGGGATTGGAAAGGAGAACTGGGATTGAGACCGTGAGAGGCTCCAAGGCATCCAGTTGCCACAAGAAAGCCTTTGCCCCTGTGCGCGAGGCCCACTTGGGTTGGGGACCTGGAAAGCACTTACCTGGCTGCTACCACGATTGTTTTCTGAGCTGCATAAATGGTGAAGCAGTGGGGAACAGACCACTCGTTCTCACTCTCTTCTATCTGTGGGTGAGAACAGATGTTTCACAAGCCAGGAAGGCAATGGCTGAGCCCAAGCCCAAGAAAGGACACAGGAGATGGCCAGCAACACTAGGTGTAGCTAGTTTGGAAGCCCTGTGCTGTCCAAGTTTGTGCAACTACAAGGGAGGCCACAGGAGGCACGCTGGTGTCCCTGGCCTGTGGCAGCTGGTAGCCAGGTGTGTGAGCCCTGAGCCAGAGGACACCCAAGTACTCACCGGTGGGTCCAGCACTATTAGCTGAAAATCAAGCAAAGGAGAAAAAGCTGAACATTTTCATTTAAAAAGGGAGTTGGGATAGTTTGTTTATGAATCTGACACCAAAGTGTACTGATGAGCAGTGCAAAGAAAAGCTGTTACAGACTAAGGTAGAAGTGATACTGTGAAACAATTCCAAAGTAAAGCATTTCCAGATCAAGCCAAGGAGCTGTCTCTGGGCTGAGTATAGTACTGGAGGGATGGCTTGCCTTAGGAACCCATTAGCATCAGTGACCAGACAACACGGCTCAGAACCTGCCTCCACACGATCAAGGTCAGCTTTCTCAGAGCCAACATCCTGCTCATTGTATCAGGAGTGAAGCCCACAATGTGTTCTCAAGACGGCCAGGACGCCAACCACCAAGGCTTGCAGTGGTGGGAGGGAGTTGAATTCTGCAGGGTAAAGCCAAGTTGCATGGTGGAAAACTAGTTCCTATCTGCAAGGAGTATGACTTTTAAGTGTTGGCTACCAGTTGGGTATGTGGAGATTTCACAGGTGTGTACAAAAAGCTCACAGGCCATTGGTGACTTGGGCCCCAGATACGCTGAGATTCTTGTGTGAGACAGCACAGAGTTAGTGATTGTGAATGAGGCTAGCTCTGCCGGTGGTGGAGGGACACAGAGTGACATGAGGGTGCCCTGCTTGCTGGGTATTGGAGTGTTACGAGCAGTGGAAGGGATGGACCACTACCCCTTCCAGGCTGCAGGGCAAGTGCACAGCAGTGCACACTAAACCTTTGCCCATCCACTGTGCAGTACTCTGGGGGACCCCAAGGACGTGAGGAGGCAGAGGCTCAGTGGTGCTCTTTACCATCTTTAGAAACCAGCCTCAGCCTCACATCCTGTAACAGGTGACCAAGTGAGTGCCCTGCAGCATGGCTCCCCTTCACTGCTTGCCTCTGTTACACAAGAGGCCAGATGTGAGAAGGTGCTTGGGATGAGTCACAGAAAGCGACTGCACTGTGGTGACCAGTCACAGTGCGTGGCCCTGGAGGCTGAAGTAGGTGGGGCTTTATCTTTCGTTTTCACATGATTTTTTTTTTTTTTTCTGTGATAAAATTATGTTTTGAAAGACTAAAATAACAGGGCCTGCTGCCAGTGAGGGCAGAGGAGGCTGTTCAAACTGATCAAACTAAGCCAGCAGTGAAGCTAGCCCAGATACTACAGACGGCTGCATGGCCTTATCACAGAAGCTAAGCAGAGAGAGGCGCAGGGCAGACACTGGTGGGGTGATGAGGGGACAGGGAGGGAGGCCTGTGTGCTCTGGGGGGGAGGGAGAGTGGGCTGGGGAGAGATGACCACTGGCAAAGCTGAATGCGCCTCACCTTATGGCTCCCTAAGAGGACCCACATGAAGCCATACAACTTCCAGATCTGTACATTTCTGTGACCTCAGGCAGGGCTTTCATCAGCAACAAGAGCACTGAACCCTAGTAGTAGCATTAAAATGAAGTGCTTCTGCTCCTCTGATGGTCCATGGCTGTCCCATCACTGCACAGGCCCAAGGGCATGCAGGCACATGTGTGATGTGGATGAGAGGCTCTAGCCTAGGGGAGAGGGCACAGAGCTTGGGACTGAGGTGTAGAATTCCATTCCGGAGAGAGAAGCGGAAAGAAGTTGCTTATACTTGTGGGTGAAGGTGACCAGCAGAGATGGCTTGTGGAGGAAGCTGGCCACTAAAGCCCCATTTGAGCTAAGGGTGGCCAGGTTTGTCCTGCTTGGTGCTGAGACCACAGGCCTGCATCAAAGGGCCTGGCCAGCCTAGGGGTGCCTGCCACAGGCTGGCTGAGGATAGGGACTCCAAACATCAACAGAACAACCTGAAATGTGGAGAAGCCCAGAGGGTCCTCTGAGGCAATATGGCCATCACAGCTGGGTATGAAACTGCTACAATATGAGGGAGGCAGAGTGGTACCACTCACCAGCATGCCACGCAGTGGAAGGAGGCCCCGAATCCGGAAGTGGCTGCTCCCTGTGATGCCCTTGCTTGTGTATAGCAGCATATCGGAAAACTAATAGACAGAGCCTCAGATAAGTTAATTGTGAAAGCAAGGGACAAAGCTTCAACATCCTTGTAGTTAAACCCTCCTGGATTTTAGATGGCCATTAAGTGGTTATCAGATATGTTCAGCTTGCTGGTGATCTTTGGCAATAAAAGGTGTTTGATCATTTTTCACCAGAGGTAAGTAGTAAGCACATAAACTAGCTGATCTGGTAGCTGGCCTGGGTGAATGTTGGCTGGTGTAACTCAGTGGCCTCCCCCACACCGTTTTGGCTGGAACCTTTAGATACTGGCAAAGGAGCCTGGCAGGAGCAGGATACACTGGTAGCTCCTTGATGCCACAGTGCTGCTTGGCCAGCAGTAGCCCTCCTGCCTGCCAAAGGGTGCTAGAGCCTTCCCCAGCCACAGCTGCCTGGACGTTGCTGCCCTAGGCCTCTGCTGATCCTGCAGACAGCTTCCTGGAGTCTAGAACAGGTGAGGGGCCAGAAGGAGCTGCTGCTCTCGCTTCCTCACCCTGGGGACCTCCCTGACTACCCTGTGACTCAGAGGTCACACACTTGGACTGAGGCTGCTGGGAGCTGAGTGGCAAAGGGAGGCTGACAGGCTGCAACCATGCATAGCCACTCTGTCAGAGCTGTGCCCCTTCCTTGCGGCATGTGGGACTCATGCTGGGGACCTACCAGGAAGAACATCCTCTGCTGTAGGCCCTTCTTGGTGAGCTTGTGGAGGCAGCCCTCACGGATAAACTCCTGAAAGACAGGTGGGGTGCAGCCAAGGGTGAGGATGGGCCAGCTTCTCCAAGACCCTCCCTGGAGACCCTGTTGGCAAGGCCCTCCCGCCTCCAGCAGTGCCCTGGTCACCCTACTGCCTGTCTGGTTCTGACCAACAGCCCCTGGGCTAGAGATACCAAGTGAAGGGTAAGCACTTGCTATAGAGAGGCCACCAGAAGCTTCAGTCACAAGGTCATCTGAGCCCAGCTGTGGGAAAAGGGCAGAAAGGGGCATGAAAATGGGGTGAGGGTCTGTCCCCACAAATTACTAGGCAGTTTGAGTTATCTATCCCCAGGGCTAATATCACAGAGACTTTAAAACCCCAAGGAACGAGGCTACCCTGAGAGAATGAAAGAGCCATCCATGTTGTTTCCTGGGCAGTGCTTGGTGGAGGTGGGCCCCACCACCAGGACTAGAGAAGCCCTTCTTTCCTCACCCACTGGAGACCCCTGCCCCCCACACTGCCTCCTTTCCTGTGCTAGGGGTAGGAAGTGAGAGTCTTGAAGCCCTACAGAGCCCCTCATTTGAGTGGGGTCCAGAGTGCTCCTTTAAAACACAGGAAAAGGAGCTCAAGGGCTCTGGGAGTGTGCCAGGGCCTGCCAACCATCATTACCTTCAGCGTCCCAAGTACTAAAAGGACAGACGGTACAGACTGTGCCCATGGGCACCGGATAGGAGGGTAGTGCAGACAGGAGGAGTGCCTCTGGGTGCACATACACTCCATGGAGTGGGGCTAGGTAAGCTATGAGGCTTGCATACCATTGTAGCCCTGCTGTGTGGTCCTGGCCGGTTGTGACTGGCTTCAAGGCCAGGGGGGTGGGTACCTAGTGCTGTGGTTACTATGGGAGCCAATGGTCACATGCTCTGGTGGCAGCAGCAAATCCTGTAGAGCTTGAAAGAGCCCAGTTCATCACCACAGAGACCCCAGCACCCAACTGAAGTCCAAACTACTCAGGGGCAGTGGTGCATTAATATAACCCTAGCTACTCAGGAGGCTGAGACAGGAGATTGTAAATTCAAGCTCGGCCTGGGCAATTTAGCGAGACCTTGTCTCAAAAAAAAAAAAAAAAAGAAAGGAAAAGAAAGAAAATGAGCGGGGTATAGCTCAGTGGTAGAGCACCTGTGGGTTCAATCCCCATTATGACAAAAACAAAACAAAACAAAACTCTATAAGTGAGGCTATCTGCCTGCATATTCTAGTGCGATTCATTCTTTGGAGCTCATACTCATGTCAATACTTTCCACCAGGCTAACAGAAACACAGCTGATATGCACACTAATACACGTTTGTGTTGAGAAGGGAAAAATCACCATGCAATATCTTATGTTAACAGTAATGAGTTCAGTGAAAAACGCTTTGGTGACAAAGTAGGCAGCCAACAGCCATCTAGATCCATGGAATAGAAGCAAGAGCCCAAAACCCCATACATGGTCCACGGATTTTCTTATAAGGGTGACAAGATAATTTAACCAATGAGCAGAAAAGCCAGGATAGCTGCATGCAAAAGAACAAATTTGGACACCACCATACCATATAAAAAAATTAACTCAAATCCATCAAAGACCTAATTGTAAGAGCTAAAACAAAATGTTAGGAGAAAAACACATGGTTAAACTTCATACCTTGGATTGGGCAATGGTTTCTTAGATACAACACCTAAGGCACAAGCAACTAGATAACTTCAAACAGCATCAAAATTAAAGCCTTTTGTATTGTAAATGATACCATTAAAAAAGTGACAAGACAGGACCCATAGGAGATAGATTACAAGTTATATTCTGATAAGGATCTAGTCTTTAGGATATCTAAAGAATTCTTTTTTAAAAAAATCAATCAGTTGCTATTTCACTGTTAAGTTTTAAGAGTTCTCTACATATTCTGAATAAAATAAAAGGTAAAGGATGTGAATAGATATTTCTCCAAAGAAGTCATAAAATGGCCAATGATCATATGAGAAGATGCTCAGGAGGATTGTGAGCTAACAGCCAGCCTGGACACATAGCAAGACTTTTGTCTCCAAAAACAAAGGAGTAAATAGTGGCTACAACAAAGATGAACCTTGGAAATGATGCTGAGTGAAAGGAGCTAGACATAAAAAGCTTAGGGCTTTAGGACAGACCTCAGTGCTGTCAGTGCCACAGATGTGCCCAATGATTGAGAGAAATCTAGGTGCTTTCTGGTTCTCAGTCACTTTTGTCACAGGCATTATATAAGCCCCTTCCCTCAGACCCAAACTCTGGGGGTCCACTGGTCTTGCTGTGCAAGTCCTCACTAAATTGCATTCTGCGAGGTTCTGGATCTTTCCACCTCCCCTGTCGCATGGTGGCTTGCAGTTGGCTCTCTACCAATGGGTTTTCCTGGGACACGCAGTGACTACTAATGGCTCTGGAGATGAGAATGTTCTGAATTATGATGATTATACAACTTTGTGAATTCACCAAAGACCACAGAATTGCATACCTAAAATGAGTGAATTTTCTTTTATGTGCATAAGATCTCAAAAAAAAAAAAAAAAAAACAACAAAAAACCAGCTCAAGCCCTTTCCCAAAACAGAGCTACTCACCCTACCAGGAGCGATGAGATTCTCCACACCCACCAGATCCCGCTGCAGCTCTGTCAGCTTCTGCAGGTTCTCTAGCCGGATAAGACTGTGCTGGAGAGTAGCGGTCACTTCCGTAATGGCCTTCAGGGCGTCTGTGTTGAGAGGCCCCTCAGACCAGGTCCCCAAAGATCCCCTCCTACCACCATTTGTAGGAACTGGCATTTTAAAGATAGGTTTTAATTCAAGGAACACTGTGCTGGGACTCCATGCAGGACAGCGGCCCCAGCCACAGCCTCGCCAGCCAGACCAGGCAACCTCATCTCACTCTTCCCCACCCTGCTGACTGCCAACATTGGCCCAGTGGAAATGCTTTATTGTGCTTCAAAGGATAAATGCTTTGCATCTTACAAGTGATGCCTTTTTTTTTTTGTATCAGGAATCGAACTCAGGACTTTGTATTTGCCAGGCAGCCACTTGTGCCACTGTGCTATATCCCTGGCTCTGATGCCTATCTTATAGTTAAAAGGTTTGTAATCAGAAGGGAAAACTCACTGACACAAAACAAAATCAAACATCAAGAGTGTCCACCCAGTCCTTAGCAGACCATGCTTGGAACAGCTGCCTGGCCAACCCAGTTCTGCCCCTGCAGCTGTTGGAGCACAAAGATGCAACTCCATTGTTGGAGCCACTCTTCGGATCACTCCGTTATCAGAACCAACTTCCTGCTGGGCTCACCCCTCTGCTTCCTGAAACCTGCAGCTGGACAGGAACCCCAATCTCACTCAGCCCCGCCCTGTTCCTGACTCACCTTGCTCTCAGCCTCCTCCTCACAGGCTCCTAGAAGCTTTCAGAGGATCAGAGGAGAAAGCAGGTGAGAGGGAAGCACTCAAGCAGTCCACATGGATAATGGATAGAATCATTCTTTCACAAGTGACTCAAGTGTGGCACTGAGAATGCCACTGTGGTCTTCACACGCAGTCCTGGCAGCTGCATCTGCTCTGTATGATGCCCTAGTACCCTTCCAGCCTGGCCACCCCCACGACCAGCTCAAGGGTGAGCCCTTCCTTCTGACATCCTGTTGGGCAGAGGCTCAGCTTCACACAGCTGTCCGGCCCAGTTTTGCCCTGGATGGCACTCTGTGCCACCACATGGGGATGCCCAGGCCACAGGGCGTAGCACTAGGACCCTGCACTGCCACACAGGTTCTGCACGACACTTGGGGGCCCTGGATGCAGCAGCAAGCTGCGCACAGGATTCAGATCTGATGGCACCCTCACAGAGGGACAGTGGCATACACAAAGCCAATATGCGATGGTGACATCCCCGCATAGTACACACCCAGCGAGGGCCAGGCAATGCTCTGGGAAAGCTCCATCGAAGTGTTTTTTTTTTTTGTTTGTTTTCCAGTACCGGGGATCAAACTCACGACCTTGTGCTTGCCAGGCAGGTGCTGTGCCGCTGAGCTAAATCCCCAGCCCAGCGCCATCAAAATGAAGGCTAAGCAGAAATGCCTTCTCCACTCCCAGCCTCAAGTTCCCCTCTTCTGGGTAGGAGTTTAATTCTGGTTCTCAGGAAGCCCAAGAGCTAGAGGCTCCTGTACACCATGGCCTCTCCTCACACAGGCCCTTTCCTGACAGGCCTGTGTCCAACATGGGTTGCGGTCTGGAAGGGCAGCTGAGAATGTGTCTGTCACTGGGGCTTTGCCACACTCCTGATTGGCTGAGCTCTTAGTGCTGTATCAAAGTGGCAGTTTACAAACCCTTGAGAATACACTTGTGCTATTTTCCCATCAGCCTGTGAGACCAGTTTTACTGAGATCTCCTTGCTTACCTGGAGCCCCTGCCATCCTCTCCTCCTAGCTCCGTAACTGCTGTGGTTTATAAGTGGTGATGAGAAACATGGTAAGCATGCTGTGATAATTTCATATGTCCCTTAACATGCTTGGAAAGTTTTTTGTTCATTTGTTTTCTTAATGAGACAGAGTTTCACTATCTAGTTCAGACTGGCTGTGAACTTGTGTCAATCCTCTTGACTCAGCCTTCCGAGTGTTGGGATTATAGGTATGTACCACCCATGCCTGGCTTCATCTTTACTTTTAATGCAACAGTAAGTTTACTTCCAGACAATTTCCTGGACTAAATCTATGCTACAACTGGAGTCCTACATGTAGGTTAAAAAAGGTCGCTGGGAGTCAGGCGTGGCGGCGCCTGTAATCCCAGCACTC